TTTAAAAACTATCTCGATATATTTAAAATATCGAGATATCGCCCACCCCTACCACCATTTAATGCAGAAAATCACATTCTACTGTCTAAAGAAAGAGTGTTTTTATTATCAACGCGGTATCGAAATCGGTATAGAGTATCGGGTCTGTTCCTTAGTATTGAAATTGAGTTGGAAATTTTAAAATCGTGACAACACTACATAAAACAAGGCCCTATATTACACCAAAAATGACTTTTATGAGCTGTAAGCCATGCTAAAATGCTGTTACCTCCTCAAAAACACACCTGGAGTTGTGTTTTTTTCACTCTCACACATTTATTATTAGTCTGTCTACATCTCCAAAGCTCAAAACGCTGCTGCTCCACCTTGTGATGTCATGAAGCAGCAGTGATCAAGTTAACTGCTACCTTTTTTTTTTTTTTTTTTTTTTTTTTTAACCTTTGGTTCAGTAGAGATTGGCAACTCCAGGGCTGAAATTGTCCAAAAGAATGAAGGTGTAAGACATGACACAATGACACAATGACATTACAAGGAGAGAAGAACTCAGCTTAAATTGTGCGTTAAACATGTGTGAATGAAACAAAACACAACTCCAGGTCTGTTTATGACGAGGAAACAACATTAGAACATAGATGTTAAAAGAGAATACTTTAAATACAAGCCTTTAATACTGTGCAAACCGCTCCGTGTAGCAGTTGTGTAGTATAATGAGAAAAGCTTGTCGTCGTGTTGTGCGTGTATTGTGTTACATGTAAAGCCCACATAAGAGCAGCTGTATGTACTCACAGGATTCCATTGGCTGAGCGCTTTAACAGGCGCACACTCGGGGACTTATTTTGTCTTTTCATAGTCCAACAAAACCTACGATTGGTTTCCCAGACCCAAACCTTGTGTGCATCTATTTCTGCACACGGACCATTTTGCGTACATGTTTTATATCTTAGCTTTTCTTTTAAAACGGTCCCTTACCCGCAGTGTGTAATTGGCATCTTTGTTTCTTTAAATGGCTCGTGGTACGCTTTTTTTGTTTTGTTATGATGTTGTTTTGTCATCGCAACCTACCTGGAGTTGTGTTTTGTTTCATTCACACATGTTTAACGCACAATTTAAGCTGAGTTCTTCTCTCCTTGTAATGTCATTGTGTCATTGTGTCATGTCTTACCAAAGGTAAAAAAAAAAAAAAAAAAAGGTAGCAGTTAACTTGATCACTGCCGCTTCATGACATCACAAGGTGGAGCAGAGCGTTTTGAGCTTTGGAGATGTAGACAGACTAATAATAAATGTGTGAGAGTGAAAAAAACACAACTCCAGGTGTGTTTTTGAGGAGGTAACAGCATTTTAGCATGGCTTACAGCTCATAAAAGTCATTTTTGGTGTAATATACGGCCTTGTTTTATGTAGTGTTGTCACGATTTAAAAATTTCTAACTCAATTTCAATACTAAGGAACAGACCCGATACTCTATACCGATTTCGATACCCCTGGATATTTAGACTGTGTTCTTCTCTCACACGGGAAACACTCTGCTCCACTTTGTGATGTCATGTGGTAATACAGGAAGTGCCCTGGAATTGCCAAACTCTACTGAACAAAAGGCAGAAGGAGCTGTTCACTTGAAAATGACTGCTTCATGACATCACAAGGTGGAACAGAGCATGTTGAACTTTGGAGATGTAGACAGACTAATAATAAAGAGTCACTCAAACATGTGTGAATGAAACAAAACACAACTCTGGGTATGTATCAATGAATCCCGGCTCAAGCGTTCCCCTGGTTTGAAAGTCCCAGCTCGAGCGTTCCATTCTCTCTGCAGGAACGTCCCCCTCCTCCCACCAGGTGCCTCCTTCGTCTTGGGCGGCACACGGGGAACTTCTATATCATAATACAATGAAATGTGAATGTAGCCAGACCAAATATGGGGTCTTGTTTATGTCATTTCACTGACCTTCCTGAAGTGGCACACATTTTTAAGTATGTAATATCAATATAATCCTCATTTGCTCACAGAAGTTTACTATGAAATCATATTTGAAATAATTTTTTCTTGTTCCCCATGTCCTAGAGCATCTGGAAGTAACTGTTAATTTGGGAAGAAATCTGAATTATTTCCTTACATGCTGCCATGAAGGTAGTTTGTAAGCAGTTCAACACAAGAAACTGAGAAAGCTAAATCATTCAGAATCACTTTTAGGAAGGTCTTAACTATGTATTTCATTTGAATATGTAACAATAAATCCTGAAATAGTTGTGACAGAGAACACAGACGTTTCTGAGGCAGTGTGCTCCACTGGTGGACTATTCTAAGGAGTAATTTGACTAACTGTATTTACTCTATTTGTGTGTGTATGAGAACAACATCATTCTGCATGTTTTGTTTGAGATCTATTGTAACTTCAGTCTGTAATTAATGCAATATATAATATATATATATATATATATATATATATATATATATATATATATATATATATATATATATATATATATATATATATAGATATACACTACCGGTCACAAGTTTTAGAACATCACACTTTTCCAATTTTTTACTGTTTCCTGTTGACCAAAACATATTCTAAACTTTTGATTGATGTGTGTGTCCATCTTTGGCAGATAGAACAGCTGAACACACTCGTGGCTCGTTCTTTTTACAACAGAAATCAAATATTGTTCAGAAAGTTCTTCCCAAGTCTGTTGCAGAAGTTTCCATAAATGTGTGGCACTTGTAGGTTGCTTCACTCTTCTGTCCAGTTCATCCCAAACCAGCTCCATGGGGTTTAAGTCTGGACACTGTGCTGCTGCTGGACACTCCAGGTTTTCAAGTTTTACCATCTTGTTCTTTTTTCCTGAGGTGGTTTTGGCAGAGCTTGGACTTTGTGTTTGTTCTTTTATCTTTTTTTTTTTTAACCTCTGTCTGTTCAGTTCTTACCTTTGTACCATTTCAAACTCTTCATTGGACTTGCACGACTTGAACTCCAATAAATAACTGGAACTGGGTGTTCTAAAACTTTTGACCAACAGTATATAATTATTATTTTATTTATATGTATATAGATTCACTAACTTTCATAAAGGGTACAATTCTGCGAGACTTTCCAGCCAGGGGGACTTTCCAGCTGATTCCCGTATCAGCATTCGGACATGGCTTAAATCTCCCAAGAGTCATTTTGGCACAATATAGGACCTTGTTTTACATAGTGTTGCCACAATTCTAAAATTTCAAACTCAATTTCAATACCAAGGAATAGATTTGATACTCTGTACTCATTCCAGTACCATGGTGATAATAAAAACACTCTCTTTCTTAGTTTTTTGAGGAGTTTATAGCGTTCTAACATGTCTAAAAGCTCACAAGAGTCCATTTTGCGTAATATTGGATCTTTGACACAGTCTGTTTCCTCTTTTGCGTGGTCCATGCAGCTCTGTCATGTCATCTCTCTCTTCCTTCCGCGTCTGGAGCTTTTCAGGGCCTGTCTGCTCTCTGTTCCCCCCTCTCCTCACACGTGTCCTGGGGTGGCCGCTCGCTGCGAGGGCCTCTTCCGCTCTCTCTCTCTCTCTCTCTCTCTGGAGGTGTTTGATGGTGTTTTACGGGGGCCACGTCAGCTAAGCGCCGTGTGACAGCCCGTCTCCTCTCGTTAAGCTTTTTAATGAGCGGGCCTGCTTCGTGTTCCCGTAGCCCCCCGCCTGCTCTCCCTCTGTTTATTCTTCGGTGCGTTTTGCTGGAATGTAATTGTAATGTAAGTGGAATGTAATTGCTGGAATGGCATGTGCACAAATGGCTGCCCGGATGTTCTCTGAATGCACTGGGGGTTCAGAGCTTGTAGTTACAGAGACAAGATAATTATATTTGTCTTGATTTATATAATACTTTGGTTTTGGGTGTTGCAAAACTCTATTTTTATGATAAGACTGTGGCGTGAAACAGACTCAATCTGTTTAGCATCTGTTTAAAATGTAAAGTTGAATTATCGTTTCAAAAATGACACTGCAGAGACTGAAGTAGGACAGAGACCAAATAAAAGTTCAACTATAGTATCTGAAAATCTAATTGTTTGGGGCAGGGGCGGTGGGACTGGGGGGGTTAAAGGTCACTGTTTACCCAGGGCCCATGGCAGGGAGGGGCCCCTCACAAAGTCTGTAATATGCATTTTACATTAGACGACGTGTAATGATCCCCACAAACATGATTTGTAACCATAGGCCCAGATCTTGAACTAACAGATAATACTCCCTACAACTGTACAACAACACACCCTTATGTAACATATAATACTCCCTACAACTGTGCAACTCCCTGTCATGTAAAAGATAATACTCCCTACAACTGTACTCCTTATGTAACTACTCCCTACAACTGTCTTATGTAACAGATAATACTCCCTACAACTGTACAACAACACCTTATGTAACAGATAATACCCTACAACTGTGCACTCCGCTTATGTAACAGATAATACTCCCTACAACTGTACAACTCCCCCTTATGTAACAGATAATACTCCCTACAACTGCACAAGTCACGCTTATGGAACAGATAATACTCCCTACAACTGTACAACTCAGTGTTATGTAATAGATAATACTCCCTACAACTACAACTTATGTAACAATAATACCCCTACAACTGTAATACAGATAATACTCCCTACAACTGTACAACTCAGTGTTATGTAATAGATAATACTCCCTACAACAGTACAACTCACCCTTATGTGACAGATAATACTCCCTACAACTGTACAACTCATGCTTATGTAACAGATAATACTCCTTACAACTATACAACAACTCAGCATCAAGTAACTGATAATACTCCCTACAACTGTACAACAACTCACCCTTATGTAACAGGTAATAATCCCTACAACTGTACAACAACTTACCCTTATGTAACAGATAATACTCCCTACAACTGTACAGCAACTCACCCCTATGGAGCAGATAATACTCCCTACAACCATACAAAGACCCCTCTCACGTGTCCCGTCTTCTCCCCACAGTCGGTGCTCCTCCTGGGGGCCACGGCTCTCCTGTGCCTGGCTCTGGACCTGCTCTTCCTGCTCTTCTACTCCTTCTGGCTGTGCTGTCGGCGGAGGAAGAACCAGGACTCCCACTCCCACGGCGGCTCCCAGCCCAGCGCCGACTGCTGCTGCACGGCCTGGTGCGTCATCATCGCCACCCTCGTCTGCAGGTACGACCCGGGCGGGCGATGGGCGGGGGGCGGGGAAAGTGCACCGGGTTTGAAAGGCAATGAATTCACGTGACTCTAATCTCCCTGTTGATCCTTTGCAGCTGATGTTGGCAAAATGTTAGACTTGAATCTGAGCTTTGTTTTAACACAGTCTGAACATAAAGAACTGACTTAGCTGAAATAAAAACAGTAGAGATGTAACAATATCCAAATCTCTCGATACAATTTTTTCACGATATGCATCTCACGGTACGATATTTATTGTGATATTTTGCGTAAGCTAACAGAATTGTGAATATGCTACTTTTCTGTCATAATCCAAATAATTAAGGTTTAAAAGTGCTTAATAACAGTTGTTTTATCCTTTAAAGGCAAGGCAAGTTTATTTGTACAGCACAATTACATGAAGTAATTCAAAATACTTTAAAGAATACGAAATACATTAAAATCACAACAAAAACAATTCAAAACATAAATAATCATCATAAAATTAAAAAAAGAGGTAGATATTGCATTAGAGGGAAGAGTGTGGAATGAAAAATGAAAAACCTTTCAGTCATATGCACAGTCCAAACAGAGCAAAGGATCATGGTCTATGTAGTTCTGTCTGTTTTTAAGCTGTTGCTGCACCATAACAATGAATTTAAAGAAAAAAAACTTGTAATTCGATATATTGTGATGGCCCATGATATTATTGGGAGACTTTTGACGATACAATATCACGATATTTTGTTTATTATCACATCCCTAAAAAGCAGATAAGTCCCTCTTAAATAACATTACAGTCACGCTCACCTTTTTGTCGAAAATCAAATTCTTAAACAGGACCAATGCTCGTATTGATCACAGGCTCAGAAAATGTGCTGTTTAAATCAATTTTGCTTTTTTTTTTCTTGAATTTTAAACTTTTGACAGTGCTTCCTAATGTGTCTCTATGGTAACTGCGGAACATTCCACCATAGAAATACATGTAAAACACCTCCAGGATGACGCTTCGTATTGATCGCAGGCTCCTAAAAATGTATTGCTTAAATCAATGTTTTTTTCTTTAAGTTTTAAAACTTTGTTAATAGTGTTTGCTAATGTGTCTCTATGGTAACAGCAATCCCCATCTCTACAAGTACAAACACTACTGCTCCTGGGGACTGTCTTAAAGTAAAAAAAACATTACACATGAGCTCTTTGTTCAGTACGGCCCTGGTACTCAGATGATTGAGCCCAGCCTTTCGACGTAAACATGACCGGTTGAGCGGTTTGATCCACTGGTCCACAGGTTGGTGGTATGATTCAGCTCCCACACATAAATACTGTTGTTGTGTCCTTTGGCGTACACTGGTGTGCGTACGCTGTGTGTGTGTATGTGTGTGCGTGTGTGAATGGGTGAGTGATTCGTTGATGTAAAGTGCCTTGAAGGTGGAAGAGCGCTATATAAAACCATGACCATATGAACCTTCTGTCCCATACTGTCCCATGTAAAATAGAAGCATTCATTTTGAGGTTTGGAGACGGCGCAGACACATGGGTGCTGTTTATGCTACATTTGGCATTTGGAGACAGTGAGTGTGTTTCCATGCACTCGAGTGTCCCGGTTATGAGTCTTATCCCAGTTATGACACTATTCCGGATACAGTGTCTACATGCGCTCAGAGAAACCGTATGTACTCTGTGTACAGGAGGAATCAGAGTACCCTGGATATTTAGACGGGTTACTCTGGCACAGATATGGCACGGAGCTAAACATGTAGAAACTTTACTAACTTTAGTCTTTTTAACAGGTTTCTAAAAACAAAAAAAGAAGACATTCATTCAAGTAAGAACATAAGACTGTGGAGCATTGTCACAACTATGGATGGGCATGATTAGTCGATAATTGATCATTAAGAATTTTGGCGATTACATTAAAATCAAATATAGGTTGTTGTGCGTAGTGTAGGGTGACCATACTTCCAAACGGACATGTCCATTTTTCACGTCCTGTCCTGGTCGTCCGGGTTTTTTTGTTTTGTTTTAAAGTGATGCAAATGTTCGGGTTTTCATTACTGTTCATTGGGCCATTAAAGTGAGCGTCTCTCGTAGCTCTCTGCACTCAGAAGGAGCGAGACACAAACAGTCAGTCTGCAACATACCAAAGCACAAATGCACATTTAACGATTGATTGATTGATTGATAGCAATTTATATAGCGCCTTTCAAGATCCCCAAAGTGCTTTACAGTTCATTATTCAGTCATTCCACAATCAGTGGTGGTAAACTACTACTGTAGCCACAGCTGCCCTGGGGCAGACTGACAGAAGCGAGGCTGTCAATCTGCGCCATCTGCCCTTCCGACCACCACCATCACTCACACTCACACCACTTTCATACTAGGCAATGTGGGTGAAGTGTCTTGCCTAAGGACACAACGACAGTTTTTTCCCACTGGCGCCCCTCACTGTAGAACGATGAAGTACAAGTATTGTACAAGAAATTCCCTGCTTTCCATCCCGGTCAAGTGGGAGGCCATGTGTCCAGGAGGGGTGCAGGGACCTTAAAGCACCAGGACACAGAAAAACATGAAAAAGTTTTACCAGGTGAAAGTCGCTCAATGACGATGACGAGGCCCCGCCCCCCTCCCCCCGTACGGTGTCCTGGTTTGACAAACGAGAATATGGTCACACTAACCTGTATTCACCTGAGTCGTGTCCTTTAGTCCGACAGAAGCTGAACCACATCAGCGACACAAGAGCTGTTTTTTTCTTTGCTTAGTTTATGCAAATTAGCCATAAGTTTTTAAGTTTGGTTTCTGTGAGACTTGTGCAAAGCTGCATTAAACACATTTTAATGCCAAACGGGCTGATGTGGCTCTAGAGTCGTTATGTTTATATGTCATCAAGTTGAATTTATTTTTGCAGATTAGTGCAGATAGTAATAATAATGATGATAATTTTTATATAAAAACGTTAATGATTAATCAATAATCGATCGTTAATTCTCCCGATGATCGATTAAGAAAATTTAATAGAATGTCCGTCACTAATCACAACTTCAGTAAAAGGAACTTAACAGTTGAAAAATTCAAAAGTCTTATGTGTATGGAATCAATTTTGAGTCAGATAGTTCAAAGAAAGCTTTTACAAAATCAAGCAAAAACTTATAAATTAAAATAAATCAAAAATAAAAATCTAACAAAAAAGTAAAATAAAATAAATTGACAATCAAATAATTTGTGTAAGTGTGTAAAATATCTGTCTTTGCCTCTTTGGAAACATTTTGTTTTTGTTCTGCATCTTTCTTAGTTTTGTTTGAGGCCATTTTCTTTGCTTCTGATTCCAGCTCTCTTGTTTGTGGGTGGGATTTACATAGGTGCATTCCCATTGGCTAATTTATGTTTGACTGACAGCTAAACAAGCATATGCAGCTAAACTTGGCGCCTGCCCCAGAAGCTGTTGTTTGTGATTGTTTCCAACAACACAGTCAACAAGATTGTCCAGCACTTACACTTTAGAGTAACGATGTTCCAGAAGAAGCATTCAACAGAGAACGTTGAATATTAGAAAAGCTCTGAGCTCCAAAACTTCAACAGGAAGATCAGCCAATGGGAATGCACCATGGAAACCCCTCCCACCTGTCACATTTGTGCCAAAACTGCACCAAAAAATCAGAGAATGCAAACGACAGAGCTGGAAACAGAACCAAAGAAAAAAAACGACATCAAACAAAACTGAGAAAGACAGAACAAAAATAAAAGAGGCAAAGTCGGATCATTTTACACGACTACACCAATAATCACAATCTTATATATTTTATTTTATTTAGATTTTATTTTAATTTGGTGTTTTGACTTATAATTTTTTGCTTGATGTTTTAAAAGTGTTCAACATTGATTCTTTATTTGTGTGTGAGTTTAGTTCAGGAGAAGCACACACAGACAGGAGTGAGCCTGGTGTTAAAATGTTCAAATATTAAATAGTAGACTGTACAAAATATTATTACTTCAAAGGTCCTGGAAGGAGTTTGAGTCATTTTGGTAAAGTAGCTGTTCCTGCTGTATCTGTGACTTGAGTTGGCACATGCTCAGTACAGCACCAGTTCAGAGAAATCAGGATACTGCGTCTACATGCCACAATATCCTGGATACTCTGAGAAAAACCCGGTGAGTCTCCTGGTTTCTCATAAGCAGGATACTGGCAGATCCAGGAAACTGAAATCAGAATACTGCGTCTACACACTCACAAAACCAAGATACTCAAAAAACCTGATCATAACTGGGAAACTTGATCTCATGTAAACGCACTCAATGTCTAACTTCCTGCTCCAGTTTCTAAAGTTCAGTCATAAATCCAAAATCAAATGCACAAAGTTGACGAATGCAAACCATTGCACAAAAAACTTCTGGACACGCTGAAAAGAAGGTAGAAGTTACGCAGCTGTGGCAGAATCCTGCACCTGGTACGGGCAAATTGTTGTTGAAACGGGCGGGATTTAACGTTCTGGAATTTTACGACCAGGTATGCGGGTGGGTAGTGATTACACAGGGGCGGGTCAGGACTAAACCAGGACTAAACCAGGACTAAACCAGGTCTAAACCAGGAGTAAAACCAGGACTAAACCAGGACTAAACCAGGACTAAACTAGCTCCGGCCACTCTTACCTCCATGAAGTGCGGAGCTGAGCCGGTCCTTTCTCCTGCGGTCACCTCCGAGCCCGTCCTGACAGTGAATCCTGTTTCAGTTCTGGTTTAGTCCTGTTTTAGTCCCGTTTTAGTCCTAGTTCAGTCCTGGTTTAGTCCTCCTCTTCAGTCCTGGAATCAGTCCTGGGTTATTCCTGAGTTAGTCCTGGTTCAGTCTTGGTTCAGTCCGTGGTGTAGGCAGGGCAAAAGTTTGATATAATCTTGGGTTAACGGGTGGGTGTGGTGTTGTACTGCCCAGGTGTGGTGCTGTATGGACTCGTGCAGGACTCTGCGCTGTAGGCTCCATAACAAAATAAACGAATCTTCGGTTCGTTACATAAAGAAGGAAAAAAACAAAAGGACGACAGCAGCAATAAGTTTTAAGAAGGATGTAAAAGGGGTTAACTGTCCTGTGTGAGAAAAGTGTATAAAGTGTGTGCTGAGAGGTCGCCCGGGCC